CCCATACTCGAACTCCCCTCCCCCTCCCCCACTCTCTCTCTCTCAGTACCTCTCTGTCTTTGGCTTTTTCTTATGTAATGGATGCTGCTTCTGGTGTGTGAGGAGATGGGCACATGTGGCAGTGCTGTATGCTGGAATAGAATTAAGGATCTTCCTCTTTTGGAGGTATTCAAAATCTTTCACTTTCCATGGAGTTTTTGTTCAGGTTTTGTGAGTATATTTCTGGCAGCATCTTTCTACCACTTTTGGCTGCCATTCCATCAGCTTTCAATTGGAGAGACACACACAGAAGTCCCCACTTGACGCCACATGTTGCATGCTGCTGCTGCTGCTGCTTCTGCTGCATGGCTTGCCGTCTGCTTCATTTCCCTGCCATCTTTTTGTTGCTTCTTTGATCTGCAGCCCACACAGACACACCACATACAGAGGCACCTCGCGATAAGTGCACTTTTCCATGTCAATCAAACGGCGGCCAACAATTGCCGACCAACCAGTCACCAGTCGCGCCTCCTTCCTCCTTGCTTCTTCCTTCAACCTCCTGCTCCGGCTGTGTATAAAATATGGAAATTCTGGTGGCAGCTGCCAATATCTATCTGTCGGTTTAAGCAACATTTCACACTCTTTTTTCCATGCGCGGTCTGTAGAAGGAAGGAGGGTTGCCCCCCCTTTCTGTCTTTGTCTTTGTCTTTGATTTTGCACCGCCTCCCGGCTTTCGTTTCGTTTCGTTTCGTTTCTCTTTTCATTATGATTTCTGGAAAAATCACATTAACTGCAATTCACTTTTTTTTCTCTCTGTTGTTTTCTGTTGCCAGTCTATGATTATATGCTCTATGACTTGTGAAATTGTCGGGTGTCATTGCTGGAACGACAACAGGCACGGGGCACGAGGCACGAGGCAAGAGTCAAAGTTTGTGTGTGTGGCAGCAACGAAAGTTTGGTTCCGTTTGAAAGTGTTTGAATTGTGGGTGGAATTCAGCACAAAAAAGCAGCAAGGGTCTGTCGGTCTGTCTTTCTGTCTGTCTTTCTGTCGTTGATTTCCCAGCTAACTAACTGACTAAACGATTCTGATTGAGAATGTTTAAGTTAAGTGAATTTCTGTCTGTAATTTGAGGTAATTTTAGCCTAAAGAAGGTGCTCTAGAATCAGCGTTAGGGCACGCTCTTTTGCTCGTGGATTGCTGGAATCATACTCAGATATTACTTGAAGAGTGTCCCTCTGGGTAGCTTCTGTATCTGTATCTGCATCTCCTTCTTTCTTTTTTTTTTTTGTCGTATTTTATAACCTCATTAGATGGATGGCTTCCTACCAGCGCATCCCAGAGACAGAGCATGAAGAGACAAAGACCCAACCCAACCCAGCCCACAGCCCACAGCCCACAGTATGAGGCTGCAGTTAAATTCGAGTTGATTTCTTCCTGCATCGTATACTCGTATGGCAGGCAGCAGGCACATGCAGAAGGCTATAATTAATTATTATGAGTGGCGGTCTGGCGTTCGGGGAGTGGCTTTGGCTCATGCCAAGAGAAGAGCGAGCCTCCGGGCTCCATCCACTAATTAGATGAGTTGAGAGCGTGAAAAAGTCTTACCCATGTTGGTTGCATCATCCTCAAAGATAAACAGAAAGACAGAGAGCGAGAGAGAGAGAGAGAGAGGTATTTGCAACTCATGCGATGCGAGACAGATATCGGACATGACCCTGGCCATAACGGCAGTTTGACCTCTATAAACGATGCCATTTCCATATAAATAAATCCAAACAAAATGGAATTTTCGGTAACGAGCATTTAGCCTCCTTTTCTAATGCCAATTCTTCTGCTGCTGTTCTTTAGGCTTGGTCTTAGAGAAGAAAGCGTGCAAATTAAACAGGCAGCGAAAGTTCTCTTCTTTTCTTTCTATTTTGTTCGGTTTGCTTTTCTCCTACTAGTATCATTATTTGTATGCAAATTAGCGACGCGCAGCACCCAATTCCTTTGTTTGGCAATGTAACAATTATGCTTTCATCTCATCTTTCGATTGTTGCCAAAAAAAAAAAAAAGAAAAAAAAAGAAGAAGACACTGGACACCCCGACACCCCGACACCGAGGTAGATAAAAGCAGAAATCTATTTAACAATGTGTTAATTACACTTCGTTCGGTCTCACAGTTCGAACAGAAATAAAACCAAGGCGCAGAGAGATGGAGATTCCCCAAGCCCCCCTGCCCTGCCCTGTCCTGTCCGTTTCGTAACCGTAAAACAAATCTGAGCTTAATCGTTAATTTATGATATTTCTAGCGGTAACCGACAGCCCCCGAACAATCAAGACCCAGCCCCGTAGAGCGGAGACGCTCCGCTGATCAACGTCATCATCATTGGGGCATTCTTTTACTTGTGCCTCAACGTCAGCTTCAGCTTCTGATTCTGTTGCTGCCTCAGCTGCCTCACGATGGGTAGATCATAAACTTTGGATTGTAAGCTGCTTGCTGCAGCCCATTCATTGATTTGCTTTGATTTGATTTGATTTGATGGCCTTTGAAAGACCATTAACATGCCCCAGTGCTCGAGCATTGAATTGTAGTAATTAATGATTGGTCGTACTTTATGTAAGACTCTCCGAAGGTTAAAAGATGGCCCTGGCAGGTGCCATGGGAGATATGTATTGGGAGATGAGTGGCGGAGGGATATGTAATCTTAAATTCTCCATGTGTAATCCTTAGCTTACATTCATGAGAAGCGCTTGGAAAGGCTCTCGTTACTCCAGAGAGAGAGCGAGGGAGAATCACAATTGGCACTCACCTCGTGGGAACGAGGAGCAGCGAAAGGCCCAAAGATTTAACTTTCTCTTTAAGGCCTAAAGCTAAAGCCTAATCCTAATTCCTTCTTGAATGCCAGAAATTCCCCAGTGACAAACCATAATCGGGGGGCGGGGAGCTCCAGCATTCACAGCGTTCCGTTTGATGGAAACGGCATCAAACGATGCTAACCGCACAAAATGCTCTCCGATTAATCTCTGAATAGAGCTCTAGCTCGATGCGATCGATCGATGAAGCAAACAAAATAACAATTAAAGACTTTATTAGAGTTGTCGTCTCGGCGGGGCCTTGCAACCCATTTAGGTGCGGATATGTGACTGCAATTTTAATTAGGAACAAACTAGAGAGACGAGACCAAAGAGAGCAGAGAGGAAGAGATAGTGGAGATAGCTCACCCATTGCAGAGGAGAGTAAAGCATTTATTAATTTAGTTTAATTCTCTTTCTCATTTCAGGTGAGTCTTGGAAGAATCTACTTAGAACACTGCAACGTGCAACCTGTTCCTCTGTGGCTCCTCTCTCTCTCTCTCTCTGTTGAGTGAGTTGCTCAACCTGCTGATGTCGATTGGATTGGATATTGGATGGCCAATTGGTTGATGGCTATGTGTGTCGTCGTCGTCGATGTGGCGCATGTGGCCATAAATTATGTCGTTGTGGCCGGAGAGTCAGAGTCAGAGCCCCCACTCAGACGGGGAGTCGTCGCAGCTGGTTATCTGTTCCTCACGCCCCCCGCCGCACGCCCCGAATCGCGAAACTTGTAGCTGCCACCAATCATCATAGTTAGGTGCACATCAAAATTTATAGGTCAGTAGTGGCAACAAATTGCACAGGCATTCCAATGTCCGATGCCTGACGATGCCTGCCCAAATCAATGGTGATTCCCAAGCCCCCATCTGAGATGCCCTCCATCTTCAGTCTGTGCCTCTAGCTCTGGCTGCAGTCTCTCCTTGCTGCTGCTGCGGCTGCTGCATCTAATAAGGCTTGACCAGTTCTCTCCCTTGTCCATGTCAACGATGAATGCTGGTTCCCCCCACTCATTCCCCTGCAGAGAGAAGAAACAAAACGATGCCTAAACCAAACAACCAACCAACAACCAAACACTGACCCACTCAACAATGCTACTCCAATATTATGGTACTGAAAGTCTCAGTCTCCGTCTCCGTCTCCGTTTCAGATGCGACTCCCTAGAGCTGGGAGCTGCGAGCTGGATGCTCGGATCTGGGATCTTTCTCCCAGCCTTATGACAATCGATTTGCAATGGAAAGCCAATGCCTGGAGGCGCTCCATTTATAACAAGTGGCCGGCTTTTGGCCAACTATCCAAGTCAGCCAAGAGACAGCCAATGGCTATGCTTCGCTCCACTCTGCTCTGGTTGGTCCTATGATGGTTGCTCCCTCTGTAACTCTAAACTTTTTGTTGCAGCAGCAGCAGCAACTGCCTGCTGCCTTCTGCCTTCTGCCTCCTGCCACCGATGTTTGCTGTTGTCATTGTCGTTGTCATCGCTTGCTGGCTGCCTGCCTGCCTGCCTCTTGTGGCTGGCGATAGTTTGAGAGTCAAGTTGTTCCAATAATTCTGCATTTGACATTCGACGGGGTCTTACCCGAGGTTCTACTTGTGTTTTTTGTGTGTTGTTACGTCTGTTCGAAACGGTTGTTGTTTTTGCTGTTCTTTTTTTTTTGGCTGTGTGTTTTTTGCTGTAGGATGTCTCTGTCTCTGTCTCTGGGTCTCCTGGCCCATTGTCTTGCGATATATTGTATGTATCTGGAGGATACATTGACAGGCCTTTGCCTTTTACCTTTACCTTTTCCTTTCCCCTTTTTCTTTTAGCATTTCCCCATTTCCCATTTCCCCTTTCCACTTTCAAACTTTTGTGGTCAATCGCTAATTAAGCTGCTGACAGGAGAGATGCAAACAGATCTCTAGGGATCTCAACGTTCTCTCTGCAGAGAAGTGAAGATATCTGAGAGGGTTCCTGTGGGAATTGTTTCGCCCACAAAAGATCCTTGGGGCTTAATGATCGGTAAACTTATTTCCGTCTGCGATCTGTAGTCTGTCTCCTGTAAGGATCCCCAGCTAAGTTTATTGGATTCGATTTTTGTGCCTATCTTCTATCTAGATCCCAGAGTTCATTGCAATAAGGTACTACAGATACGAGTGTAGGAGCTACAAAGTTATAGTATTGCACAGTCTAAATCTTTATGGAGATCCTCACCTTGTTGTCCTTGTTATTGGCCGCTGATCCCAGCTTCTGCTGGTAGTACTCCTCGCGTGCATTTGTGCTGAGGCTGTCGATGAGCGCCGAGGCATTCACATGGCCATCGTAGACGAGGCTATCCTGCTGGCTGCTGTAAGTGGTGGCAGCTGCTCCTGGGGCTCCTGCTGCTGCTGCTGCAGAGGATGAGGCTGCTGCTGCTGCTGCTGCTGCTGCCAGGGGAGGAATGTTGGCCTGTGGGGTGCGTGTGTACAGCTGCTCGATGGGCAGTCCGGAATTAGCTGAATTTGTGGTGGCCGAGGGCAGGGCAGAGGATGATGACGGCATGGAGGCGGATGATGATGTGCCAAGGGAAGGCGTCACCTTCTGCAGGGGCTTCGTCTGCTGCTTCTGCTGGTAGCTGGCGTTGGTGGAGAGCTTCTGCTTCTGGGTGGTGCTGCCGCTGGGCGGCTTGGATGCAGCCGCCGCATTGGCTGCCGCCGCGCTGTTGCTGCTCGGCCGCTGGGCGCCGCGCTTCAGGGCCGTCGTGACCTTGTGGCCGAAGGGTCGCTTGGTGGCCTGGCGGTGCTTCAGCTTCCCCATCGTCGTGAGGGTGCGCTGCTGGCTGCCCGCACTCGTGGCTGTGGTGGTGGTGCTGCTGCTGCTGGGATCCGCATCTGCCGCTGTGATGGCTGCAATGTTGTTGTTGGAGCGGGCGGCCACGAACTGATCGTCGGGATCGGTGGCACCGGTGAGGGCCTCGTCGCTGGTGGTGGATGCTGCCGCCTGCTCCTCCTCCTCCTGGGACTGCTCCTCCGTCTCCTGGCTGATCTCTGGCTGCGTCGTGAGATTCGCTGAGGTCGTCTCGCCCGTCTCCTCCTCTTCGTTGTGGTCGCTCGTCCCGGCTCCTGCCTCCTGGCTGAAGTCCGTGGTGGTGGGCAGATCCTTCATGAGCGTCGTCTGCTGCGTGACGGCCGCCTGCAGCGCTGCCTGCTCGTTCATCGTGTGCTGCAGCTCCAGGAGCGTCGTCTCATCGAGCAGCAGGGTGGGGTCTGTTTCGGTTTCCGTGGAGCCAGTGGGCGGCAGGGTGCTCTGCTCCTGCGCCAGTTCTTGCTCCGTTTCCGTTTCGGCTTCCGTTTGCTGCCGTTGGGTCGTGGAGGTGCTGCTGCTGCTGCTGGTGCTGGTCCTGGAGGAGGTGGCCTCCTGCTGCTGGCTGAACTGCTGCTCCTCGATGTCCAGCGACTCCTTGAGTCGCGCCACCCGCTCCACGATCCTGGCCAGCATATCCTTCTGCTGCTCGGGCAGGTTCTTGGTGTCCAGCTCGAGCAGACGGTCGTACTTGCGAATGTTCCGCTTCACCGTCTCAATGTCCGCCCGAGTCTTGGCCGAGGGCGGATTGGGCTTGGCCTGGGGCTTGGGATCCTCCTCCTGGAAGTAGGCGCGCGCCCTGCGATTGCTGTAGCCCACCAGCTCGATGACACCGGGATAATCGGAGGTGGAGGCGGACGTGGCCACAACGAGGGCCACCAGGGCCAGTGTCAGTGACAGTGCCAGTGCCAGGGAGCAGCTCCAGGCGGTGGCACTACTCCGAACCATTTTGAGGATCGGGAAAATGAGGATGGATCACTGGGGGGAAAATCACTCGGCACTTTGTGGGTTCTCAATATTATTTTCTCTTTCTTTCTTTTTTGTTTTTTGTTTGTTTTTTGTTTTGCACTCGCGAATCACGTATTTTTCGTGTATTTCTCGTATTTGGCTCCCCCTCGTTAATCTCTTCTGCGCTTCTCTGGCGGATTAATGTCAACTAACTGTAACTGTGACGCTTTGACAGCTCTCTCGGCAAAAACACGCTCTGCACTGCCCTGCTCTGCTCTGCTCTGCTCTCTCTCTCTCTCGTAGAAGAAGAAAACGCGAATCGCGAATCCAGTAATCAGGAGGAGAATGGAACGGAATGGAATGGGTGAATCTTCTGCTCGATGCGATGCTGCTGCTGCTGTTGCTGCTGCTTTTGCTTTTGGGATATTTTTTCTATGCGTCTGTCGGTGTCGGTATCGGTATTGGTCGCTGCTCGTCTTCGGGCCACGATCCGCAGACGGCTAATGTCGGATTACAAATGTTCCAGGCCGCTGGATTGCAGCGTCTTTTAAAAATTTTCAAAGCGGAAAACGCATTGCGGAGTCGGTCGGTCGTCGCGCAAAGAGAAGACTTTTCTCCCAGGGCCAACCAGACCCACACACCCCCCCAACCACATCCCGGTCATGGCCACAAGTTGTTCTTTCACCAAGTTCATGGCTTAGACCGGACCGGTTTGAAGCCAACATGTTGCATCCCGCCGCCATACCGATCCGCAGAGAGTCTCTCAACCAAAGAGAGTGACAGAGAGAGAGTGGGAGAGCGCTTTCTTTCTAGTAAATGTTGCTGAAGCTTCCATCGCATGTTGCTGAAGCTGCAGGCAGATGTTGCTAAACTTTGATCAAATGCTGCAAAGGTTCCCCTGACAAATGATTCCTGTCTCTGGGCGGGGGGGTTTGGCTTTAATTGCACGGCCCGGCACACGCCTTCCTCTAAGAATAACCATCCAGCATGAGCATGTGTATATATGTCTGTATATATGTCTGTATCTCCCACCGATCTCAGCTATCTACGGTATATATTCCCCATTCAATTAGTCATTCCACAAACGCACAGAAACTCGTCTCAGCCCAACCCAACCCGGCCCGGCCCGGCCCGAAGACACCTCTGAGGCAGTTCTGTTTTGGCCTGGTTCTTTGGTGGCTCTCTGTTTCGGTTTCTGCTGCTCTGCTCTGCTGTTCGACTGCTTTCGCTTCAATGTCAACTCAGAGGCTCGTTTAGCCTGTCATCGATTTGGTAGACTGGTAGAACCAGACACCATAGAACCAGAGACCGCGCTTCAAACACCTCGCACCGGAACCGCCATTCTGGCATGGATCCCCAGATCTCTGATGAAAATTCTCCTCTTTTTCCCTGGTCTGGTCTGGTCTGGTCTGGTCTCTGCTCTCTGGTCTCTGGCTGTTTGATGTTCAATTTAGTTAAATGCTTTCGTATTAAACATAATTTGTCGCGGCCTTCTTAATTGTATAGAGAGGAATAGCTATCTTCCCCCCCTCTCTGTCTCTTTTTCTGTTTCTTTAGTTTTTACCTTTCTCCATTTCCTTCGGCATGTGATCTATAGCCCAGAACGTGCCCCGAACCACTAATGAACTTTGGTCACAACTCCAGATTCATTTCCATTTCCATTTCAGGGTGTTCTCATAATTGTACTCTAATACAACGAAACGGGGGTATGCTGGCACTTGAATGGCGTTTGTCGTGGCTTGACAGGCGAAAGAATTTTAAAGTGAAAAAGTTTTCAGCTCTAGATAATCATTCCTCATGATTGTTTTTATTAGTAATTGGTAGTAGATTCAAGAGCAAATATAGTTCGATGTGATAATGCAGATAGAATGTGGTTTAGCCATCTGCCATTCCATATACGAACGAATCACATTGAAGTATTATTAATGTGATACAAATACACCACAAACGAATAAATTCAAAGCCCACTTTCCTGGTACTTCCATCCAGAGCTCGTTATCATTTTGAATAGCAACATTTCGGAGAGTATTTATGCATTCATTCCACATGTACAGATTTCTGCAGTCTGGTCTAGAGCTCGTCTGTTGGCCTGGGAACTGCAATAAAACAATCACAAATAAGTTATAAGAAAACGAACCTCAGCCAGAGACCCAGAGCCAAAGTGAAGCTCAGCTCCGTTCCGTTTTGGAGCTGTGAGGCTGTGAGGCTGTGGGGCAGAGGCAGCTTCCCCATTTTTCACGTAGCCGCGCAATGAAAGAAAACCGAGCGTTAATTAAAAAAATAGCCATAGATCAATGCACCTGATAGATGCGGGAAATGTTTGTTCTACTGCATCTGCTGCTGTTGCTGCCTCTGCTGCTGTGGATGTTGCAGTGGCTGTTGTGTTGCAGTGTTGCTCTTGGCTGCTGTTTCCGCCAAGGTTGGGGGAAATTTGCCAGCGGCAAATGTGGTATAATTTGTGAGAAAAAGGCTTGGTTTGGTTCCTTAGCCCTATTTAGAGCCCCATTACCGATGCCTTACACACACACCTAGGAAATAGAGCCTCAAGCGATCCTCAGAAGAAATATCGTTTATTACGAGTCCCAAGGGACAGGTAGATAGAGAGGGGAAGCTTGACAAGGCTTCAGGCGCTTCCTTCATTAGCATCGATGGGGGAAAAACCCGTCTCTGGGGGCTCCATCTGCATGGCTGTCTCTGTCTCTATGACTTCGAAGCATTTAGTTTGGGGAGCTCTCTGACACACATAAGGCGTTCACAATCATTATGGGATAAATGCCGCAGCAGTTGTAGTAACTCCTCCTGCCGCATGTTGCCACAGACACAGCCGTGAGTGGGTGAGCTGTTGCTGTTGCTGCTGTTGCGTGGTTGCAATGCAACTTTCTTCTCGTCTCTTATCTTTTATGCATATGCAGCAGCAGCAGCAGCAACGCAATGGCGGCGGCGTCTGCATTCTTTGCTAGCCATAAAATATGCGACCAACCGACGATCATCCAAGTGCAACTGCAACAAGAGGCTGCAGCAGCAGCAGCAAACAACAGACACAGCAGCCACGCTTGAACTTTACTGAGCGATGAAAATGCTCTGGCTTTGGCTCTTGCCCTTTTTCCCTGCTGCTTCCCATCTTCTGCTGTTTAGCATGAGCCTGGGCTCTCTCTCTCTCTGTCTGTCTGTCTGTCTGCCCCAAGAGAGAAAAGGCTGAGATGGAGGGGAGCGAAGGAGAGACCAAGCCTTAGAGGGGGCGTCTTAGAGGGAGCTTAAATGAGGGAGTGAGAGGCAGACGCTGCCGCACGATGTTGCTGCTGCTGCTGCTCAAGTGCCAATAGCAATCTTCTTTGTGGAAATACCCTCTCAGAGGGTATCAGAACTTCAAGCAGCTGTTTGCCAGGCAGCACAAGGAGCAGCCGCCAAGGCAATTCGCGAGTTTCCAGGGTATCTTCAGCTGTGGCTTCTTTCTTCTTCTTTTTGTCGCTGTTTCTATGGCTGCTCCTTCTGTTGCTCCTCTCCTTTTCCCTGCTGCTGCTGCTGTTGTTGTTTATTTCCACCCGGTTTGATCTTTTGGTCTTTGGCGGTAATTTTTCCTGTGCAACTTTTTCCTTTTTGGCCAAGAAGAGACTTTATTGGCTTTCGGTTCGGCCTTTGCCTTTCGTTTGCTGCCTGCCAATGTTTTTATCTGCCAAAGTTTTGTCTTCATTTTTATTTTAATAGTGATCTTGATACTGTTGCACCGCCCCGCCTCGCCTCGCCTTGCCTACAGAGTGCGCTCTGGCTATCGCTGTCTTTATCACATAATGATTTCAAATGGTGCGAAATTAATTTGAATTATTACTGTTATTAGCTGTTATTCCGCAGTGTAATGGCCATGATGCCTGATCGGCTGATCGGCTGATCGCCTGATCGCAGGCCCAACCAACTACAGCTATGGGGTAGGTGCAAGAGATGGATCTGCTGCCTCCAAGTTGCTGCTGCTGTCTCGAGGGTTCCCCCTTGTCCATGGCTAATGCACTGCCCAGAAATGCCAACAAATTCAGTGATAAGCAATGCAAATGGGATGCTGCAAACATGACTCGGTCGGGGCTTCAATTACCAATTGTTTTGGACCGTTTAAATGACAGCCACAGCCACGATATACAGCATTGTGGCATTGTTGCCTCTCTCTCTCTGGATCTCTGGCTCTCTGTCTCTGTGGGCACATTTAAATTTATTAAAACTGCACCAAGTTCTAACGGACAACGGACAAACGCTTGGAATGTGCAGCATGTTGTGGCTGCCACTGCAACTGCCTCTCTTGTATGTGTAAGCTGTTGGTTGTTCCATGACCAAAGTGATCTTGTCTTGTGGCAGTGGCAGTGGCAGCATCTGGGAAGCAGCAACATTTCTACTGGCGCTTGGCGCTTGGCCATTTGCAATTTCCATCATTTTGCATGCAATTTAATGCCATTTGTCATTTGCTTAATTGTGCCCAGGCTCTGTCTTGCTGGCCTGTCCGTCTGTCTGTCTTTCTGGCCTCTGCATTTCCTGTGACTCCATCCACCCATCCAACTAGCCATCCATCCATCCATGCTGCTTCGCTGGCAGTCCGTTCTCCCAGTTCCAAGTTCCCAGTTCCTGGCTGATTCTGCCATACCGTTTCTAATTGTGGCCAGGCACGCAGCGATTACACTGAAGGAATTAACTGAAGGAGTATCTGTATCTGAGAAATGCAGAAACCAGAAGCCTATGTTAGAACAGACAGACAATAATATTGATTCTCTTTTTGAGGAACTTCCTTTCCAGGCTACCCAAATTCTTCGTATAAAATTTCTTGGCTTCTTCTCGCAGTGTTTTTGTTTTGCTGCAATCAATGGCTCAGTCTCTGGCTCCGACTTGGGCCCCATTTGGTTTCAATTAATCAAGTTGTCGCTGCACGCGTCTATTAGCTGTTTATGACACAACTGTGCTCCAGTCCATGGCCAGTTGGGGCAGCGGCAGCGGCAGTGGCAATGGCAGTGCCAGAGGCTCCTTGGGGTGTCCGCTTGGCGCTCATTAGCGGCGCCCCCATAGATGCTGCAGCTCCTGCATCGACTTCTCATCCTCCAAGTGCCGTTGCTGCGCCCCCTCCAGCTGATGCTGATGCTGATCCCCAGCCTCCTCCTCCCAGTGCCTCCTTCTGGTGCGCGTTCATATGTTATTAAATATACTCGTACTTGTGGCAGATTGCCGCTACTGCCTGGCGGTGCTCTTGAATGTTCTTCTGCACTTCTCCGACTTAAACTAAAGTATTTAATACACTGCACCTTAAGAAGGGTATTGCAATGATCAAGCAGGCATCTGAGACACTATATGCTGAATTTGTGATTTGCCGCAACAGTTGGATAATCTTTTAATTGGTATTTTAAAGAATTATTCCTTGCTTTTGCTTTTTTTTTTATATTTGCAGCAGTACCTATAGACATATGCCTATGTACTGCAGCTTTTATGGCAACAATCCATCAGGGTATTAAAGGGTATTAAAACATTTGGCTTTTCTTTGGCAAGCATTTCTTTCCTGGTTGTTTTGCTTT